ATATATATATATATATATATATATATATATATATAGGGAAGGGTTCTTTGGAAAACAAAAAAACCCTAAAAAACCTCAAAAATCATAAAAATGCATAAAAAAAATACCTAGAGATCACAAAACTTTTTTTTGACATTTTTTTTGAAAAAATCGCAGGTTTTTAAAGAAATTCGCTGAAAAAATTTTTGCATTGATTTTTTTTTCAGCGAATTTTAATAAAAAGCTGCGATTATTTCTAGCAAGTATTGTGTTCCTTAATGCACCAATCAAAAATTAGTAAATAATTAAATAAATAATTAAATATAAGGGTATAATAGTAATCTATACTATAATTATTTATGGTAAAAATACAAAATCAATTAATATCCGCTTAAATTAGGTTATCAGTTTCACAACCCTATAAAACCATAACTCATTCCTTCTCTCTTGCAAAAAAACCATCGATCAAAACCCTACAAATACTATCGTCGTCTACTGGAGGCTAATCCAGAACAACTGAAGATTGGCTAATATTTATTGAAATGGCGTCAAACAGTTTTTAGGTGTATTCATAAAAGTTTGTGACCCACATCATGTATTATTTCTTCATAAAATTTTGGCAACGCCCTTTGCCGGCACCCTTATCTCTCAAGATTCTAATGTTATATGATTTTCTTTCTTTCTAATTTCTTTATTATAGGTTAGAATTGTATTGTTATTTTTTATGATTTAATTATTTGTAGTGTTTAACTATTTGTTAGTATACATGTTTTATTATTTTTATAATTTACACTTATATCAACAAACAACTTGAAAATTGTTATATTCAAATTTTGTTAAACTTTTATTCCATTATATCGCAATATATTTTTTGTATTCAAAATTCAGGCATATATGATTTTTTATTGAGAAATTATTAGCAAGGTAGTCGTTTTTTGTAGATGAAGTTTTCGATTTTGTTGATATGTGACCTTTTCATCAAATGCAGTATAAAGATCTGAGCATCCGATTTTGCCCGCCAATTGTTTGCTAAAATGTTTGAATCAAATATTTCAGCCAATTCTATTGTAATCTTTGAACTATCATATCTCTCTAATACTAGCTTGGAATGATTTGAAATATTTTTGTGCATGTTCTCCTTTGTGTTAGCTACAAGTTAGGTTCTAAAGTCATTTTAATTGGATTAATATTGGCTGAGTTATAGTCCTTTGAACATTGGATGTTACAACTATATTTTTAGTACTTTTACTTTGTTCAGAAAATTTTTGTGATCTTTGAACTGTCACCTTTCCCACATTCTTGCCTGTAATAATATGACATTTTCCAACGTATTGTCCTCTGTGTTAGCTACAATGTAGGCTCTAGAATAATTGTAATTAGATTAAGTAGATTATTTGGATCAAGTGACTCGCGGAATACTTGATCAAGTGACTTGAGTATTACATTCTGTTAGAATAAATTAAAAGTCTTTAATGTCTAACCCATTCTATTGGAATTTATAGTTTTATTCTTTTAGAATATACTAAAAAATTTAATAGTTTAAAGTTGATTATGTTTTCTTTGTGGATATAGATTTTGAAGAGACTGTCATTGATGTGGAAAAAGAAGAAAACATGGAGAACGAAAGTATTCTAGCATAATGTATTCTGCCAGAATGTATAAAGTGTTTTTTAACAATAATATTCTTTCAGAATTGATTAGTGTTTTTGTTAGATTTTGATGTTTTTATTTTTTATTTTTTATTTTTTTAACCATTCTTAGTTTTAATCTTTAAGAATAAATGTAATTCTTAAACCATTATTAATCATTTTTTTTTCAGAATGAATGTAATAATTGTTTAGTCTTATTCTTTACGAATTAATGTAATTAGTGATTCTTTAAAAATAAAATCTGTATTATTTAGAAAATGTTATTCTTGATAATATGTTATATAATTCTTTAAACATGTTGATTATAAAAAATATATTGAATGAACCATATTCTCCAAGAATAAAATCGATATATTTATTAGTTTATGTTTGACTCTCTATCATTCTGACAGAATAAAATCGTTTACTATTAGAAATTATAATAGAATTAAATTTGAATTAATTTAAAAAAATGAAATTAATGATCCCTTAAAATCCGGAAATTTCTTTTTTTAATGTAGGTTAATTGACCAAAACACCATTTTGCTGAAATTTATGTGATTATATGGTACATGGTACCCTATTGTAATATCGTAAACCCTCAGATAATGACCATTGATTTTATTCATCCATTGGTCCAGAATTGTGCTTACGGCCACACAATAAATGTAAGAAACAAAATAACCTCGCCCAATATATATATATATATA